TGGCCTAAGTAAGTAACCAGTGTAAACCAGTAGTACTTGTCTACTTAACCACAGGATCATTTGCATAATGGAACACGTATGCCAACAGCTTGCTTTTTTGTTGTTGCGGATTCATTGAAGAAGTCGTCACGCACATATAAGTTCTTATCTTCTTGGCTATTGATTGTTTTACACACACTGGCCTTGGTGCGCAAGGTGGTGTACCAGTCAGCAGTGACATCTAGCGGCCGTCACTAGTACTGCAAGAGAAGGGAACATCCACCCAGGATCAAACGCATCCTCCCATGGCAGGGGCAGCGGCTCCGAATTCCTTCTCCACCCTACGAAGGCCCACAACGACACTTCCACAGCGCGCTTCCAAGGTACCTTCCATAGCGCGATTCTGCGGACCTTCCACAGCGCGATTCTGCAAACCTTCCACAGCGCGATTCTGCGAGCCTTCCACAGCACGATTCTGCGAATCTTCCACAGTGCGATTCTGCGAATCTTCCACAGCGCGATTCTGCGAATCTTCCACAGCGCGATTCTGCGAACCTTCCACAGCGCGCTTCCAAGGTACCTTCCACAGCGCGATTCTGCGAACCTTCCACAGCGCGATTCTGCGAATCTTCCACAGCGCGATTCTGCGAACCTTCCTCAGCGCGATTCTGCGAATCTTCCACAGTGCGATTCTGCGAACCTTCCACAGCGCAATTCTGCGAATCTTCCACAGCGCGATTCTGCGAACCTTCCACAGCGCGATTCTGCGAACCTTCCACAGCGCAATTCTGCGAACCTTCCACAGCGCGCCTGCCAAGTCACCTTCCACAGCGCGATTCTGCGAACCTTCCACAGCGCGCCTGCCAAGGATATACCTTCCACAGCGCGATTCTGCGAACCTTCCACAGCGCGCTGCCAAGGGCCTTCCATAGCGCTCTTCCGTGGACCTTCCACAGCGCGCTGCACCGAGGCCCTTATGTTATGGAACATTGAATCTTGCAAACTATCTTTTCGGTTATTAATTTCAGCCATCAATTAATTCAGTTAGATTCTGTCAATGTCTTAAAATGACATCACGGATACCACCTCTGTAATGTAAAGCAATTTCTATACATTGTTGGGGAAGACCACAGTTTCTAAGTATGGTACAAATCGTATTTACTGTCTGAATGTTTAAATTTGAACGCTCATGAAGAAATTTATTTCAAACAATCACAACTTTACTTACAAGTTACAATGCTATGGTAGTGGATTTTCATGTTTCAAGTTTGAAAGTACAAGCTGTAGATAGTGGAAAAAACAAAGCAGTGTACGAAAAGAGATATTGAAGTCCTAACAGTCACATTAGTAAAGACAATACTCGTTTATGCAAGAAAAGGTCACATTTACAATCTTTCTTTCTAGCTTCAAGCAAGAAAAAAAATCAATTAAACCTACTAGTAATGTTAATTAAAGAAATACACCTTCATATCATGCAAAATGTTGTTTGTAAGGATCAATAAAATTTTGTAAAAGAAAGAGTGAAGTGTTTCATTTTTGTAAGTTTTCTATGATACAGACATCTGGATACATTCTGACAGGTAACCCATAAGGGCAGAATACTCATCATGCTGAATAGATTTAGAGATGATAAAAAACAATGTCATGTTAGACCTTTGATCTTTATTACTAGAAATTATACTTCTTGAGTCACACAAAGTAAAAAAAAAGTTGAGAATAGCCTACAAAGAATCCTTGGTCCAGTGCGCTAGGAAAAGAAAATAGAACACAACAAATCCGTACTTAATATAATAAATCATTTCCTCTTTAATAGGGGTTGAAATATGATTACGTTTGTACAGTATCTGAGCTGGCTATAAGGGACCGTCCGCTAAAATAGGGGAGGGGTTGTAGGGCCTCGTGCAATACGCTGTGGAAGGTTCGCAGAATCGCGCTATGGAAGGTCCCTTGGCAGCGCGCTGTGGAAGATTCGCAGAATCGCGCTGTGGAAGGCTCGCAGAATCGCGCTGTGGAAGGTTCGCAGAATCGCGCTGTGGAAGATTCGCAGAATCGCGCTGTGGAAGGCTCGCAGAATCGCGCTGTGGAAGATTCGCAGAATCGCGCTGTGGAAGGTTCGAATCGCGCTGTGGAAGGTTCGCAGAATCGCAGAATCGCGCTGTGGAAGGTTCGCAGAATCGCGCTGTGGAAGGCTCGCAGAATCGCGCTGTGGAAGGTTCGCAGAATCGCGCTGTGGAAGGTTAGCAGAATCGCGCTATGGAAGGTGCCTTGGAAGCGCGCTGTGGAAGTGTCGTTGTGGGCCTTCGTACCACCCCTTACCCCTGCCGTATAACCTCGCATCTTCTACTCTACGACCCCAGGAATATTAATATTCATGAGCTTGCCTTATTTGGCATGACCCCATTTCTGACTTGGGCGGCGAAGGGACGTCACCCTCCCCGCCGGCGACTCCGCCGCCGCCCGGTGACGAGCCCGTTAACGCGTTGGGGGAGGCCGTGCGGGGCAAAGTCACCGAGCCAACACCTTCCCCGTGCTCGGCGGGATCCCCGCGCAGCCTCCAGCACACGCTAGCGCCCCGCCGACGCCCGCAGCGGCCTGCATCGCAAAAGTTCTCTTCCCAAGACGACGCCATGTTTGTTTTTATTTGTTACTGAACAGCCGACATGATTGGTTCCGATAGCTAGCGCAGCTCATAAATATTTAATGTAAAGTGCGTTGAAGATTTTCTCTGTGATACGTGATTGGCTGAGAGCGTGTCCCTGGAATCGGGTCACAGAGTAGAAGATGCGAGGTTATACGGCAGGGGTAAGGGGTGGAGAAGGAATTCGGAGCCGCTGCCCCTGCCATGGGAGGATGGATCAAACGAAGCATAGATGAATTCAGCTACTCTCCAAGCAGAGGTTAGGGTTTTAGGCTATTTTTGGCGTGTTTAGACTTTTTTTACTGTAAAAACGTACTGGAATTTTTCTTTCACTCAACCCCCCCCCCAAAAAAAAATTCCAGTGCAAAATGGAAACCCCAATAAAAAGTTTTAAAACACAAAAAATAACCCAAACCTCTGCTTTGAGAGTAGAAAAGGGCAGCTTACAAAATAATGGAACTCAAAGTCATACATAAAACTTTTCTTCTTTTATTTGAAACTGCTTTACTCTGCCTTACTGTGACTTACTACGAGGCAACATCGAAATCAGTCCATCTTTTTACGTTACAAAAATGCTTCCGCCAAGCATACAGATTTCTCTTCTTCCCATTTAACATAATAGAACTCTCATAGGAATAACCATATTGCTGATGGAAATACTTGTAGTGGTACTTATAAATGCCTGCACTAAATGCGAACCAACATACTCAATTTCTTCTCCATATTCTAGGCATAGGGCAATGTTTCGGTTCCAAAATCTTTCTCAAAGAATTGGCGAATCCACTGAAACTGATGTTAAGTATATAGTTACACCTTAGAATAGTGCAGACAGAAATGTGGGACAGTTATATCTCAAAGATACTTCATGTATAAAACTTACAACTCTCCTGGTTTTTTAACACTGAAAGCTTGCGACAAGCCTTGCACCAAATAACTGGAAAAAACAACATTATGGCAACTTCAACCATCATAATACTGTTGCTTAAACGTAGAACAACAAACACCTATTGCAGTGTCTTTTCATATCGTCCCTTCTCCCATATCTTTAGCTGCTGTCTTAACTGGTGGTACTGAGAGGGGTACAGGTTAACATAGTTCAATGCAAGGCCACAGCAAGTAATTTTTATGTATGACATCATCACACGCATTAATTTTTGCCCAATTAAAAAAAAAAATTGTTGCCCTTTGACGGTGGTCAACATGCCGAAAATGGGCAAATATCGTAAACGTCTATCAGTTCAGAGACCATGAGGGATGCAGCAAACTTGAGGCACAATCGTTCACATTTGATGATAAGTGTTGACAGTCCAAGGTTTTCCATCGTACATGAATACCAAATGTAGTGTACATGTACAATGTAGCTATATATCCATGATGGTACGGGAAGTTCTTGTTCTAGTTAATTGTAAAGCTGTCGAGATTTAAAGTGCCTGTTCTTGCATCTTTGTCCTCAATTACATAGTTACTGTATGATTTATTTTTTTGAGAAACTTTCAGTTTTGCACTTGGGTAAGTTTGGAATAGTCCACTTTTGCGTGGGATGGAGATGGACTGAAATATGCTGTACTTGCTCCCAAGCAAATGTCGGCCTTTCTAGTTGTTAAATACACATCTACAAAGACAGGTACTGTTGAATACAGGAATAGCTGTTGCTGTGATGTTTTCTTGCCTCAAATCTTGTATAACAAGGTTTTTTGATCTCGAAATTTGAAAATGTAGGAATCTTGCTTTTTTTGCTCGCCTTGTTTTTTTCTGCCCTAATTTTGGAGCCTGCAGACGATGTCATCCATAAAATTTGCTTGCTGTGGCCTAAGCACTGTTACAGTGATCCAAGTCAATTGTAATACACAGCTAACATTATGGCATTACTCAAGAAATTTGGTTACAATGGCACCATTACACAATCATTAACCCTTAAAAAACAATTGTAAATTTCACTGAGATAAAAGTAGCGTAAAGAAGGCTGCAACTTTAACCAGACGTACGTTTTTCAAACATACAAGAAGCCAGTTCACTTTATAATTGTTTAGAGCATAATCAAAGAGAAATACCCTTTTCTTAATAGAGCTCTGATTTTGAACTAGTGTTTCAATGTGTGAATCAGAACATACAACTATTCCATTCCACAAAACTTCACTTTCTGATACCAGCTTTTGGTTGACAAATTCACTGTGTTATATGATATGCTTTATGATTTTCATGGCACAGATCACAAGAGTGTCTACAATGTACCTTTATGCAAAGCACTGTGCAACATATTGGGTACAGTTCGTATTATAGTAGTCCACCGAAAAAGGTGGACCATAATGGAACTGAAGAGTATGAATACAGGAAGACTTCAACTCGTTTTTGAGTTAAAACTTTTTTTTTCCAACACAAAAAA